CGGATCATGAAAAAAATGCATGTGCATATGTCCCATATAATGTGTGATGTATGAGTGAAGTTTGAACTCAATCGGTCCATGCATGTTCGAGATACAGGTGATCACGGACGCAGGGACGGACGCACACAGGGCAAAACATAAGTCCCCGTTTTCGGACTGCGTCCGAACGGGGACTAATTAAAACCACTCATCGTATCAGTTTTCAATGTTCTCAAGGACAAGCAGCAAATCTTTTCTTCTTTTTGCCCTAATTAGGGAGATTTAAACCGAGGTTTGATTTCTGTCCATCTGGGTCATGTCTCGGCCTATCACATTCAAACTTCACACGCATCATATATTTGGGAAATATATAAATACGTTCATTTATTTCATGACCTGATTCAAGGTGACCAAATTACGGTCATTTTAGTGTTGAATCAAAATCAAGCATTCGAATTTGGTACATACTTTGGACATTATGGGATCTTGATGCATGTCATTTTGTTTTTCAGATCAGATTAAAAATTGCAGACTGGTGGCCATTTTGTTTTCAATTAATGCCTTGTCTGATCGCATTCTAACTTTATATATACATCTTTTTTTTTTTTGCCCATCAGATTCAAGATTGTTGAATTGCAGCCATTTTAATCTGAAAAATTCATCAAAATCAAGCATTTTTGTATTATAAAAGATAGTTCTGGTGGTGGTATTATCGTTTCAACACTCAATCACAATTCATCGGGTAAAGATGCATTTGCCTAAAAATCCACAAGAATTTCTCCCCGTGGTTGTAGAGTTTTATTGGTTCTTGTTGATGCAAGAGATAACTGGACACAGACCTGCCTATGCTAGCAAGAAAGTCACATCAATTGAAATATTTATAATTTTATTCTTTGAAAACTATGTTACATGTCTGTAATATTTGAAGCTGACAATACAGTATTGTATTGAAACCATAAGAAAACAATTAGAGATTTACAAATTTTACACTTTACCCAAAGGTACATATTGTAAAGAAACCTTTTCAGCATTGTTGCTGTCTTAAGCATGGCTCAAAATTGACAAGTTAATGTTTTGGAGCAAGGCTTTGTAGTAGATTAGAAGATTAGAACAGTAACACCCAGATTATATTTGATGAATTGAACAGCAAAAAATTGTGAATCTTTGATATTTAAAAAATTGACTAATTTTACTCAGTTTGAATGCACGTCTCTCTTAGCACTTGTTCTATAGAGATACACACTGCTAGATAATTGGGCAGAATATTCGAAGGATGCAATAGACATTGAAAATGCCCCAGTTGTATGAACCGTGTAAAATAATGTAGATTTTCCCATAACCCATCCACTACCTTTGTGGCAGAAAATGACCAAGATGCCACTAGAATTTACAAAACAAAGAAATGGATATTTCAACAATGTTTTACATATTCATTCAGCCAAGCCACATCAATGACCATCATATGAATTGTGAAATGCACAGAACAGCATATATATTGATGGATACATACACATGTTTTAAACAAAGTAATTGAAACTACAGTATTGGTATAATGATAACCCATAAAGTACAAATTCTCAGACACTTGTCACTTTTGATTAATGCATTACAACTTGCATGTACATTATAACCATATACAAGTGCCACTCAATAATAAAAAATTTTTAAATAACTTGACTTCAAGAAAGGTCCAGTACAAATGTACAGTAAAACGTATACATACATTTTTTATGAAATGTTTTCTCAGCACATTGAACATGGTAGTAATCATGAAAATGGGATGTACTTGTTTACATTTTGTGCACACAGTGACTGGTTGCCAAGAAACTGTTCTGGTAAAATAATAACATCTGCTGCTGCCTTTATCAATTGTATATTAATAAAACCAGTCACAGCACGTCACGAGGTAGTGCTGATTTGTCAAAAAATGTAAAGCGACATCACAGTGATACACCTGGCATGGGTGTGCAACAAATATTGAGAATGTATTGTAGCTTATTGCAGTTGAAATCCCATCCCAGAAAGTTTAATCATATTTCAGAATAGTAGGATACTCCTAACTAAATCAAATGTGCAGATTAAAACAAGGTGAATACTTTAGTTGACCCCTGCCCTTTCAGACGAGAACTTTAACCTCAAAATATGCAAATTAGCTCATTAATAATTGAAACTTACTCTTGTGCAACTTCTCACTATATAGTACATATTTAATAAACCTCCCTGCAACAGGGTTAACAATTGTCCAAAGTAGCACCATAAAATTTGTATCAGAAGCTACATTCCTAATAGAAATTTTACTCATTCTTTTTTGAGCAACTGGGAATCAAAAATAATTCTCACAAATGTAGATGCAGCAATAGAAGCCACATTGCCTGTTGCATTGCCCCATTTTAATGGAAGTTGTGGCTTCTGATACAGATTTTACAGTAGTACACCTCTTGTCACGAGTATTGATCTTACACTATTTAAAATTATATTTAAACCAGATTGGTGGAACAGACAGGTTAATCTCAAAACTTCGCTTTCGTGCTTCGCAAAAGTAACAAAACATAAATTAAGTCTATAATAAACCCCAATGACCCAACCAGTAATACATTTCAGTACTGTAAACACAAACTCTAAGCACCACTTTATTTTAATACATCTCTACAATATATTTCTCCCTCTGGTGACAAAGAACTGACGTATAGATTTGTTTAAATCAATACAATTTACAGAAATAAATCAAATGCGTTGTTCTTTTAATAATGGATGTGTACCGACAAGACAATAGTGATGTCACAGATTCATTCAACATCACACACATAAATAAATATGGATGGAGAAGTGTATACTATTGGTGGGTAAAACATTAAAAAAAATTGTTAATTTCCCACTAAAGAGTAAACATACACACTGTATTTGTTTTATTAGTAATGTTTGTGTTTTGGTAAATAATAGGCGTGTTTACAGTCAAAACAAGTCATAGTTTAATGATATAGTATACAATTAATGCATTGGGGGGGGGGGGTTGTGTGTGTGTGCTTATATTAAAGTAAATACTGTATAATTATTACATGTAGCAATGATTTCAAGTCAATAGCAAGTCAAAACAGGATAAACTAACAAAAATAGAATATAAATACCACTTGTAAGTATGATTTTTTTTTTAAAACCATATACATGAGAAGTTTGATAACTGGCAGATTGCTGATACCCGCCAGCAGGTATTGATGCCACAAAGCTGGTAACAAAACAGAACTGTTTTTGACTTCTTTTTTTTTAAACAGACTAGTTGAGAAGTACAAAGTTGCATAACTACATAAAGAGAAAATCAAATATACATACTTTTATATTTATAAGGATCCTAAATCAGCATCAACACTTTCATTGCTCTCAGATACCCCCCCCCCCAATTTAACGGCTTATAGGTATAGATGACAATAAATTCAAATGTTTCCAAACAAGTGATTTGAAAACAAAATAGACAAAAAAAACAAAATTAACACTCAAAATAGTACATTGCATGGGTCACATTGAAAAGAGTTTGCCTTGTTATTGTTTACCGTAGCCGAAAATTAGCTTAATATTGACTGACAATAAGAAATAAAGGACAGCAGCATCCCACAGTTAAAGGGTGCAATTTCTCAGAATGAACACTTCTTGTTTTAATTCAACCCACAATTTTGCTGTTACCCATAACCCAAACACATGTGATAGAAAGAATGGTTCTCACAACTCTGTTCCCACTTTGTAACCTATTATCCCATGATCGCTATACTGGTAAATGTATGAATGAGCACTGGCCATACATACAAAAACACTCAACATAGATAAATGTACATGTATCGGTGTGTGTATATATATATATATCTAATTCAGTCACCCACATTTTTTATACCATAGAAATAAACCACTGACCTTAACGTAAATATTGTATCAAATTATTCTCTATTTTGAAAGATGTATCTTTTGTACAAAAAAAAAAAAAAATGGGGGGAATCATAATAGAGATGGACACACATACACACACTCCATACTGTGGACAACATACCGCACTAAGGTAAACAATTACAACCATAGCGTAATCAACCAACAAATAATTAACAAAGTAATTATTTTACACCATATTCAACACTATGGTAACTCAGTCTCATAGTAAATGCACTTACTAGCAGCAACTGAGATGTCAGGGTGTCTCACCCTCCCTATTCCTCCCCCCAATGATCTGAACACTAATGTCGGTAATTTTATGCAACATCAATCATAACAGCAGCAACAAGTGGCATTGGTCATACAATCAGGACAAAGCCCTCCTTCAAATCAATACAATTAAAAAAAAAACTGGATGTAGGCTTGATAATATGGCTTGATAATATGTGTAAATCTTCATAAACTTGAAACCTTGTTTACTTTATATCATTAATGTTGATAATCTATTGAGCAAGTCCAATGTCTTCCATTAGCACACCTGACAGAAATGTTCTGCATATCCTAGCTTTAGTATTCGTTGATACCAAAAAACCTTTTGCGATGAAAGTATGGCAGCTTAGGCAGTAACACAGCCATTAAAGCCACAGCATTTATCACAAAATGTCTGTGGTCATATTTGGTGTAGAAACTTGCAAGGAGAAACCTGTCGGACAAAAAAAAAAAAAAAAAAAATGTAATGAAAAATCATTTTATTTTTTTGTGTGCATTCTCAATAACAATTGAATTTCAAAGGCTTTGATTTGTACAATGTGTGGATTTGTACTGCAAATATATATACATTCAGTATATTTGTGTTAATGCTGATTGGCTCATGCAAAACAAATAATAATGAGGGCCTGCCTACACCCTGGGTCAAAATGCATATCTCTTCAAATGCCTTTCAGTGAACAGGTGAAAATTATAAATGTTGGCCAAGTATTCTAAGTGGTATACATTACGATGCCTAAGGATA